TACATACATACATACATACATACATACATACATACATACATACATACATACATACATACATACATACATACATACATACATACATACATACATACATACATACATATATATTGCCTAAAATTCAAACGGGCTAGGATTGATTTGACAGAGGGGCAATGAACATTTTTCTGATGAATCGAAGTTAAATTGAAATTAATTTGATGAATTAAAGTTAGAATCAAGGAGGGTAGTGTAATAATCGGTTTACTGTAGTAAAAATAAAACACGGTTGGTTTTCTACGTAATGAGATCGAAAAATTTTATAAATATAAAGTGAATAAATGGAATAAAGGATCGTTTTATGTATGAAAATGTCTTGCACAATATAAAGCTGTACTATAAAGTGGAGATGTCTCTAAAATGAAGAGATCAATCGGAAAACGATTATCAAAGGCTTATAATTTGCGAAATTATAGACTAATGGATATAATTTTTTTAAAGAATTTGTCTCACTGATTCACATTTATTAAAATAATCAATAATTTGTGCCATTTAATCGCAAGAAATACTTTTTCTTGTCCTTTCAACTTTTTAGAGATTGAGGATCACGTTTCTATCTGTTAATCGGTCGATTATTTTTATGGCAGGGATACAGTATCCTGACTTTGGTGAATATTGTTTTTCTTGGCTGGTTTTGTTGAACTTCCATTATTAATCTTTTGGCGTTTTGAGTTAGGATTTACATTTTGGGGGTAAAACTTTTAATATTTTTTTTCAAAATTATTTTAAAATTTATTTTATTATTAAAGTTATTTTTTATTTTTAGTTATTTGTTATATGATTATATTTTTTATGTATAAATTCTTTTTTTAAGTAGAAATTTGTAACCGATTATGGCCAATATGCTAGGTTTATTTGGAAATAAATTAAATTAAAATTAAATTAAATTAGAAGTACAATACCAAGGCGAATGATCAAAAAATACTTAAAAAGTAATAACGTTAATTTACTCTTAAAATGGCTTCAAGTGAATGTATATACTAACAACCTTATTCACAAACCACATTTTTATTTTATAAAAGGTTTATAAAACAAAATTTCCATACAAAATCTAATTTATAAACTGTTAATAAAATTTGTTTGTGAATAAGGGGGTTATTCAATAGTAATTTTTGTTAACAGTTTATTAATATTCACTAAAATTAAATATACATATTAAAAGTTATGGGATTAGTTTTGTCGCTGCAATTTTAGACTAATTTTTATTATTTGATCAAAAACAAGTATTAAACTTTGTTAGCCTCCATACTTAGAAATAAGTAGTTGTTTACCTCTCGTCATATAGAAGCCTTAAAGAGCACTTCTTGTTGTGCATACATGCTTAAGGTAATATATAAATAAAGGAAGACAAATCTTCTCCTTTTATAAAACTAATAATTCTTTGTGTTTTATTCTTTTTGTGCATTTACACTGAACCAAATCGGATTGACGCCGAAACATTGGTCGCTTCGAACCGGATTAATTAAATTGTTGCTTCGAATCGAGGATAATCTACACATCTTGATCTTAATCAAGCGGATAAAACACGAAGAAGTTCATCCTCCAGCATATGAAAGGAAGACCCCTTGCCAAGGAATTTTAAGTGCCCTTTTGTTTGGAGAGTTTTTAAGATTGCTTTTTTTTTAAAGGTTAGTAAATTGATATAAAAGTGATTGTGTCAAAGAAAAAAGTATATAAACATACATAAATACATAGTATGTATATACGTGTGTGTGTTTTATAAAGAAAAAAGCAAAGAAAACAACAAGTGTCTATTGTCAAAAAAAGGGAATTAATAATTTGTAATAATTTATTGTGAATTAATTTTAATCCCTATTTAATACATCCTTGCGCGATTATATTTTATACAGTACCTATTGACAGATAGTGATCGGTACTTTTATAATCAAGGCTGCGTTTGTTTACATTGGACAACAGCCATAATTGATAATTAAAAATTGCATTTGTTTTTCGGCAAATTAATAAAAAATTAACTTTTCACTATTTAAAGAAAATTATTTTGGTGTTAATTTTTGAGTGAAATAAATAGTGATCAAAATAATTCGTGACTGCATTTAATGCAAGGTTTGTTCACACAAATTTAATATTAGTAATTGTGTTGTGAAAGATAAAATTCTTCTTCTTCCTCCTTTTACTAATTTATTGTTAGTTACCCTACGGTCGGTCGATTTGACTTTTAATAATTTGTTTGGAAAGTAACAATACAATTTCGATTTTTTGTGATTTTTGAAAGCTGCTTCCTATTTTTATAGTATTTTACCAAAATAAATCCAATCTTAAAATTGTGAAAAATGCCTTTGACAGCCCTCGAACGTTTCACTCGTGCCTCAGACGCCGTTATAAAATTTAAGGCAAACTTTAATAATATACGCGAGGAAGAACATCACGTGTACTACTTCGAAGTTTTGGAAAGTGAATTGAAGATGTGTTGGGAAAAGGTGAAAATTACTTTCGATAAGTGTTTAGACGATCTTGAATCTTCTGAAGACGCTGAGCCAGAAGATATTCAAGTGGCTGAAAGTAAATTCCAGAGTACCCTTAATGTTTATGCGCGATGTTCAAAGTCGATAAAAATTAAGATTGATGAATTGGAAGCAAAGACTAAGCCTAAAGTTTCCCATCATCCAAACAATGATTCAAATTTTGATAATGTTAGTCATAATCTACCTCTTCCGCCATGTGATACGGACATTTTCAACGGCGATTATCTCTCATGGCCTACATTTAGGGATCTTTTCACTGCTTTATATATTAATAACAGTCGGCTGAGTAATATCGAACGATTATGTTATTTAGTGAAAAGAACAGATAACGAAGCGAGAGAAATTGTATCTAAATGTCCGTTGACTAATGCTGGGTTTGATATAGCGTGGAAAAGTTTAAAAGATACATAAAAATCCTCGAATGCTAGTTAATAATCAGTTAAAGTGTTTGTTTGGTTTAGAGACAATAACAGAAGAGACTAGTTCCTCTTTGAAAAGGTTACAGCGCGGAATCAATGGATTTTTAACTGCTATGTCGATATATGAGATTCCCACTCAAAATTGGGATCCAATTATCGTTTTTATTTGCATACAAAGACTGCCCTCTCAGACAGTGACACTATGGGAACAAAGTGTTAAGGACAAAACTGCCTTATCTTTATGGAAAGATTTGGACATGTTTTTGACCGAAAGAATCCAAACGTTAGATTGCATACGCGATCTTAAGAGTTCCAATACTGATAAGGAAGGCATTGAACGCAAGGAAAAGACACATGTTTTGAATACAAGTCCTACGAATGCTTGTGTTTTATGTAAAAAACCGGGTCATTTACTTCGTTTTTGCCGTCAGTTTGATAGAATGTCTATTCCTGAGAGATTTAGAACGGTTAAAAAATTTCATTGCTGCATAAATTGTCTAGCTAACTCACATGAAGTTAATGATTGTTTAAGTGAACATCGTTGTTCTATTTGTAATAAGCGGCACCATACTTCACTACATCGGAATTCTTCAGCTTCGCAAAACTCTGGAAATGCTCTTCCTGAGTCATTAGACGACAACTTAAATGAAGAATTTTCGGCCATTTCGATGAAGACTTGTAATTTGGTGATAGGTTCTAGTACTGATTCATCATTTTTATTAAACACTTCGGCATCTGTTTTGCCAAACATTTCGGGAAATCTGCCTTCGGTTTCGGTTAATACCGACAAATTGCCAAATCTTCATTTGGCAGATTCGAATCCCTTCGGGAGCAGACCCGTGGAATTATTATTAGGAGCTGATGTATACCCCCAGCTTATTTTACCCGGAATTAGGAAAAAAGTACTAGGATCATTATTGGCTCAAAAAACCGTATTTGGTTGGATATTAACCGGTCCTGTAAATAGTATTAATTCATCTCCTACGAAGGAAAGATATAGACCAACTAAAAATAGCTACATTCCAACATGGAATCGTAATGAACCCAAATGATCTAGGAACTAGCTAGTTTAGTTTTAATCTGTAATAGAACCGCTACTAATTAAAATGTTTGTAAATCAATATTTTTCATTTTGTCTACGACAGGGCACTACGTGCAAACACTTATTGTAACCTTTTACGAGGTAATATTTAAATATAGATAATTCAAGATTTACGTCTATCCCAAACGCTGTATTAATAGAATCGTAAAAGATGGAAAAAAGAATTTTTAAGTAATTTTACTATTGATCGCTTTGTATGGCAGACTTGTTGTTTTGAATTCCTAAATGATCACTACATATATATCAATTTACTTTACTAACCTTTTCCTAAATTATTTTTAATTCAGCAAGAGTCCTTAGTGATTCAACCGGAGTCTCATCATGGCTCAACCAGAGTCTCTTAATGGCTCAACCAGAGTCTCATCATGGCTCAAACGGGTCCATAATGACCCAAGTAGGAAAAACTGGAGTCTGATCATGGCTCATTTTATTTTGGAAAAAACAGTCCACGAGAGTCCTTCATGACTCGTCATTTATTTAGTTACAACACCTTAAGTGTTGCAAGGGGGCCGGCAATGTTTAAGTACAAATCGATTATTTGCGGTATTTTTCCTCTAAGTGTAAATCCTAATGATTTACTACTTTAGTTTACATCTTTGATGGAAAACTATTACTAATTCAACGAGTAAACCGCTAACTGTATTTAAACTTTGTTAGCCTCCATACTTAGAAATAAGTAGTTGTTTACCTCTCGTCATATAGAAGCCTTAAAGAGCACTTCTTGTTGTGCATACATGCTTAAGGTAATATATAAATAAAAGAAGACAAATCTTCTCCTTTTATAAAACTAATAATTCTTTGTGTTTTATTCTTTTTGTGCATTTACACTGAACCAAATCGGATTGACGCCGAAACAATAATAATTTTATTTACAAAATAACCAATTTTTCAATTTTACTGAGGTAAATGTTCGTGCTTTAGTTTTGTCCGACACACCTATGCTATTTTCTTACTTACCCAAATTTTCGTAGATATCATCAGAAACATCCCATCTATCTATTATGCCAAGAAATTGCTCCAAGTAAGCAAATGTAGCTGTTTTTGGGTTATTGGTGCACCACAATTGAATTACCTTTGTCATAGGATCATCTCCACTTACACCATTTTCCTCACATAAACACTTTTGTTTCGCCAATGACGCCAATCCTCGCCAATCTCGTTCGTAACCCTCTTCTGAACGCAAAATCTTTCTAGAATTTAATAAATTTGAAAGCTTTCGTAATGATTTTTTACTGAGTGCAGTCAAAGGTATTTCCTGAAATGCAATTACGTCATGTTCCACCGTTGGTGAATCAATTGAGCCAATACTACTATTTATGCTCATACTGCTATGATTCATGTTGGTACTGGATAACGCAACGTTTTGTACCATTTTAACTAAAAAGATAAAGCAATTGGTTATAATAATATAATTTACAATTTAAAATTATTAAATAATTAAAATATAAAGAAATTGTTGTATCGTGTTTTTTACGATATAAAATTAAGCTACTGAAAATTAATTAAATTAATAAAATATTAATTTTGCGATATTACTTTTAGGACTAGTTCCAATGACAATTGGATCTTCGCTTCTGGACGACCCGAGTCACAATCGTCCAAAGATTATGAACCCAGCGACAGCTGTATCAACCGAAAGTTCTTTACACAGGCCATAGTCGAACTGTTAAAACAACAACAACTTATTTGACTCGAACCCACGACAATTGGATCTTCGCTCTGGAACGAATCGAGTCTTACTGTGTCCCTTTTTGCGACGTTATAACAGCGCTAAGAAAATTTTATTTATAAAATGTTGTATGTCATCTGAAATTCAGTATTTTTTCGTACATTTCACATTTATTTTACAAAAAAAACTAATACATTCTTATTTTTATGTTTTCCTATGAAAATACTTTTGAATTCTTTAAAAAAAATATGCTGTAGTTGCTGAGATATCATTCATTGAAGTTTACAGACGGGCAGTCATCAAGTCAGAAAGTGATTTTGAGTCGATTGGAACTTCCTCAGATAGGTGTGAATCAAATATTTTTGTTTGTTATAAACAATATTTAGAAAGCACCATTTACCAAAAACCAGGAGTTTTCAAGCTTCAGGTGAAAATATCTCGAAGATGAAAGAGGATATGCCAGAAGGTAATTTTTTAGTTTTAATTTGACAGAATAGACCTTTAGATAGCATACAACATTTTATAAATAAAGTTGTCTTGGCGCTGTTATAACATCTCTGAAAGGGTGTTTTTCCAAATTTCAGTACACGATATCAGCTCGGTTCAGTCCAGTATAAAAGTCGTGGAAAAGCCATTCAATGTATAATATTATATGAATTATTAACCTATTGAGTGCTAAAAGATAAAAAAGTGCCCATAATTCGGAAAATGGCTCATATAAGCACATACATATATATTTCCTAAGTATTATATTATATTATATTTGTTGCCTATAGGATATGTTAGTACCTATTTATTAAATGATAACAACTTTAAAGTGGTTTTTCAAAAAAATATTGTTTTCTAAATGTTGTATAATGCATTACAGTAAAAAACAATTTCAAAGTTCTTCATTTTTATTTTTTTGTATTTTAATATTAAACAACAATTCAAACCTGTGAACATTTTTGAAATTTTTTTTTTATTAAATAGTGTATTTTCAAATTGTTTTCAAATTAAAAAGTGTAGCCTTTGAAATGAACATAATAATTTCAAAAAACGTTTAATAAAATATAATGTGTAATATTTATAAAATTTTTAAAGTTTTGTTCTAATTGAACATAGAAAATTTTCTTTCAAAAAATAAATTATTTTAGAAAAACAAAAACAAACGATTTTTTCTACAGCAAGGGAACGAAAAAACGATAAATATAGGAGAAATAATCGGAGATATAAATGAAAAATACACTAAAATGAATGTATAAATATTTATTCTTTGGTATAAATGTTTTATTTCCAGGTGAGGTAAAAAATATATGAATTCAATCTTAGCCTTGCCTTTTTTTAAATTTGAAATACATTTGAAAAATACGTTTGATTTCTAACTGAAATCAAACGTATTTGAAAACAAAAATTTTCAAATTTTTTCTCAAAGACTGACTATGTATGAAATTTAAATGTTTTCAAATACCTATACATATATTTACATCATTTCAAAGGTTTTTGCTTATTGGGTATAGTATTGATTTGAATAGATAATGCAGAAGATATTCTACATTATATTATTATAAATCATTAAATGTATGTAACTCCTAAACCAAATGAGAACATGAAATAATGTTTACACCAAACAATTACAAATTAAGTTTGCTACACCTGGTTAAAATTTTTGGAAATTGCAGCCGTTTAGAGTCGGTAAGATATGTCCGTTTGATTTACGCCAAAAATTTCATTAGTATAGTCCGCTACTCAACTCTTAATACAAAAATTTTAAATCATCTCGAATGATATTCGACTACGTATTTGTCGAATTATCCGATTAAAATCTAAATATATATTTAGCAGGTATAAAACAGACATATAAAAATACATGGAAATAATATTTTTTCGCTCGACTGTCTATGTTTACCTTCAAAAGTGTCGTCTATGGTTCAATACTTCAATGTCGTTATTGTTGTTGTTGGAACTCTGTTGTTGTTGCAGTTGTAGTTTTTTATTGTTTATGTTTATTTTCTAGAATTAATGATGTTTACTTTGTTCGAACGAATGTCGCAGTTTATTAGAATATACAGAACACGTTGATAGAATATTTTTGTTTTATAAATGTAATTCATATAATTATTTACACAAATGTAGGAATGTAGTTATTTTTTTAAATTTTACGCTTAATTTTGTTTGTATTTTATACCTTTGTATTGTATTATTTAATTATACGTAATTTAATTGATGGGAGATAACAAACTTTTTCATTATTAGATCAATAAAATTAAAGAAATTTAATTATAAGGTTTTGGAACAAACACCTATTTAGAGAAACGTTGATAGCAAATTAACTGACTAGTTGTACGATCGTTCACTTGTTTTCATTCTGTTTCTTTACAAGATAGGATTTTTATTGCAATTTGTTTAACTTTGGTTTGTTATTATTATTGTCCATAGTTATTACAGTTTTTCATAACACATATTAATCGTTAATAAGAGAAGAAAACTATTAAAATTTTATTATTAATTAACTTCAGTAATAAACACAAAAAAAAATAACGTAGTACTGTCCGAAGTGAAAGAATACATATAAGGTGTATTCGGTTTAACAGCAATATGAAAAAGTCTCCAACGTCAAAGTCAGCTGCCTATTGACCAGTGTTGACAAATTAACATTTTCAACATTTATAAAGGAGGAAGTACACAACACGCGTTGTACGTTACAGGCTTCTGTAAAAAAAGTTGAAATAGTATATTTTCATTTAACAAGTTACACACTGAAATTTGTAAAGCTGGAAGTCCACATCACGCGTTCTACGCTTCTTCGCAGTCTACACAGCTGACAAAAAAGTAGAATCAATGTTGTTGTGTGCTACAAATTACAAGCACAAAAGCGTAGGATGTCTTGACGCGTAGAATGTTTAAAGTAGATCTACTTTCTAATTTTGTAAACGTCAGCTGATTTGAACAATTTATATTATATTTTGAATGTGTATTATCAATTTTAATAAATTAAAAGGATTTAATTTGTGAAAATATAAATAAAAAAGGTAAAAAACGCGAAATTTTTTGTAAATACAAAAACAAAAAAAAAACAAAAATTTGACAGTAATAGGGCCAATATCTCAACCTCTGGTTATCGTTTAACAGGTAGATATACTGCTGGTTAAAATTTTTTGTATGTAAACTGTCAAATTATCGTTAGGATAAAACATAATCATACATTGGGAAAATGGGAGATAGTCTTAAAATACATTAAAAGAAAGATCAAAATGACGCGCGGTGTTTAAAGGTCTAAACACATACAATACTTTACGACGAACTGCGACTGACAGCTATACCAACGTAAAAAAAGTGATGCCCAATCGTTGCGTTGATAAGTAAGAACAAATAATTAAATATGTATGTTTTAATAATATAAAAATATTCAATATAAAATATTTCATATAAAAAATACTTAATTTAAAAATGGCGTTTTTCACACATAATTTCGACAGTTTTGTTTTTGCTCTCATTTTCCCTTTCTCCTCATTTTCGTACGTCAAAGTTAAATATTTTTTGATAGATATGAGGTGAATAAAATTTTACTAGCTCATAGAGCTACATAAATTTTTGACAAATAAAAAGAAAATTTTGAAAATCCAAAAAGTAAAATATTTTATAATTTTGGTTTATAATACATTTGTGATTGTAGAAATTCATTTTAATAATAAAAAATCAACAAAAGAGTTTCCTTTATTAAAATAAATGCAGATTTTCTTGTGAAATTAGTGAAAATTGTCAAAATTTCATGTAATCATTTCATGTTATCGTTTGGCGCAGCAAAAGTGATAATATTATCCACCATAAGAAAACTTTATTTTACCATAGAACTTTGCTACCGTTTGGCACACAGCCTAAGGTGAAGTTATTAACTTATTCAATAGTAATTTTTGTTAACAGTTTCTTAATTCACTAAAATTTAATATATTCAAAGTTATGTGATTTAGTTTTGTCGCTGCAATTTTAGACTAATTTATATTATTTGATCAAAAACAATGCATTTTCCTTTTCCAACATTTTGTTTTATTGTTTTTATAATTTCTAAACTATACTCTATCTAAACTAATAATTTTAATTACAAAATAACCTATTTTTTAACTTTACTGAGCTTTTTTTAACAGGTAAAAGTCCATGGCAAAACTAATAAGGTGAAGTCATTTCAACAGCTGATTGTTTTTTTGTCCATTGAAATTTAGCTGTCAATTTTTACACAAAAATATCTCTCTCAAAACCAACGATGTCAAACTCCATATATAAAAAATTTCATGAATTCGCCGCAAAATAAATGACTTTTTAGTTTGCAACCTTGCATAAAATTTATTTCATTTCGTTTATTTTCTTTTGCTTACTTGTTTTGTTTACAAAATAGTCTTATACCCCATTTACACATACACGAATCTTGTAGATTTCATTTAAAATCTTTTTAAAAATCTAGACCGTTTACACTTAATGTTTTTGACATTTAGGAAGATTTCATTTTTCTAATATTTCTTGAAATTCTGTTTGATATGAAAAATAAGGAGGAAACATGGGATATTTATTAACATTTTATTTTTACTAAAAAATAGATATTTATATATAACATTTCCTTTTATTTTAAATTAAGTTTTCATTCATGTTTTTCAATTTATTAAAATTTTGTCGACATTTTAATTTTTGTTGTTTGTTTTTCTCTTTTTTCTTGTGCAGCGTCGTATTTTTTAATATTATTGAAAAAACAGATTTGCATCACTAAAAAATATTGGATTTTGAGTAGATTTTAACGAAATCTAGTTACAAAGTAGATTTTTTTTGCAAGAGAAATCTAGTTAAAATCAACTAGATTTGGCTCGAAATCTCTCAAGTACTAGATTTCGTGTATGTGTAAATGGGGTATTAGTGTT